TTTTCGATAGCCATAATCACTATTTCGATTCGATATTTGAATATCTATTTCAATTGTTTCCACACAGCGAGAAGGTAATTTTTAATCCATCTCGAGCAGTTTCGAGCCCTGAAATAAGGCGAAACGTAATTGGTTGATGCCGGGCTAATTATCTAATGAGCATTGTCGTTAGTAGACATCGCCAAGTTGACGATGGATTTCACGCAAAAAGGCCGACTCACTGGAACTCGGAGAGTTAACTGAAATCTGATATTTTTACTTGTATGAAGAATCGAATCGAAAATGATCGAATCGAGTGTCCAATATCGAAAATTTTATCGAACTGATGTCTGAGTGATTTGTTGTAGCCCTACAGACTTCCATATACTGTTAATATGGGAAGAGCACATCATGTCTTTGGACAAAATAACACCGAGGTAATCAAGTGGTTTATATTATCAACAAACTAGATTTGGCAATATTGTTTGTGTGACTGGATGTCTTTTGGTTGCATTGTCAGGATTAATTATACACGCCAGGAGATGAAAGATAGGTCATAATTCAAGGTTTGTGACAAATGGAAATTTCTAACTGAGGATGCACCAACAGACATACAACCTAGCATGCGTTTTTCAGGAACGTTTCAAGGTATTTGATCATGTTGCACCATTCAATGCCTCAGTGGGGTTTTCAATGGCAGACATAATGCGGACATTTCCGAATTTGACGCATCTGTTACAAAAACGACACAGTTAGTAGTTACATAATTTATCTTGTGTAATTTTTTTGACCCATGCATGAATTTATTACAGGTACCATGTGTTGGTCAAAAAGCACTAACTAAATCATGCGCATGTGTTAATAAATCAGTATCAAATAGTGATGATTCAAGATTTGCATGAAAAGGTGATCAAGCCGGTGTCACACGTTACCGAAACATTTGTTCGAAAGCAGATGGACATGACTATATCGCTGCATAAAGAACGTGTTTGTTATCAATTCATTCGAACAAACTGAAGACTGTTAATAAGTTAGCTGCGGCCATGCAACCACATAATGTTCAAATATATTCTACCAACCCTCAAAGAAGAGCAATAAGTAGTTATTTGGTTTGCTAAAGACAAATATTTGTGTTTAGCAATTTACTACAAATTTGGCTAAACTTTTAACATTTACACTACTAATCAATGTAATATTGTGCAGGACTTTTTTAGATATACTGTCTGTAAATTTGCAATGAACATGTTTAATACTTAAGGTATCTAACACAGGTTACTTTAGGTTTAGATATAATACCGATTGATAAATTACAGAAAACAATATATATCCATTTTTGTCTAAACATATTTTATATAACTGTCAGGATATGATAGTATGAACTGAATGGTTTGAATTTCCCACAGCTTTTTGTCAAAACGTTGGAATATTTATATAACCTTTACCGTCTGACACTGGTGTATTATCAGTTGGACTGAAAAGAGAAATTGAACGAACTACCCATGTAAGGGTTTTCTCTATTGCCGAGAAATTTGGCGAATACATTTTTAATTCGTGAGCTTTTCGTTTTAAGGTACAGAAGAAAAATATGTTTATTTGTGTGTCACATGTTATATATAAAACATACATAGACACTTTAAAACAGTCATTAAAATATAACATCCGGCCATGTGGCCTATGAAACACAAGACACTACATTATACCTAAAACAGATAGTAGTGAATGAAATATCACAGCTTTATAAGCATCAGTGAAGTACGATATGTTAAATTAAAGTACTATAAAGTGCGTTTACGTCTATTAAATATTTTAGTAACCAGTGTAGCTAAGTGGTTATATTCATTTTACATTACTTAACATAAATGCGGCCTTGTCATAAGGCGACAAGGGAGAAGAAATACATTTTCCCACAAGACATATCGTAAATCTGAATATAGTGGACAGCTGACCAAAAGGTGAACTTCGTCCTCAATCGCACTGCCATCACAACATTTACAAATTCTATCATCTAAAGTTGTTTTAGGGTGAGTAAATCTACTGACCTCTATTTCCAAAGGTAGGGTACTGTATCGTTACTGTCTAAGTACTGCGATGGGATCTAGGCAGAATTTCAGTAACATATGGCTCCGCTGTTAATAATTTCTTAAACTTAAATTGCGGAGTTAATTCCCGTTAGGATTCCCTCGGTCGTTCCAAAGTTCTTTATTTCAATTCGGACAATCTAGTTTTAGGGTGAGTAAATTATACTGACCTCTATTTCCAAATGTAGGGTACCACATCGTAACTGTCTAAGTATACTGCGATGGGATCTAAGCAGAATTTCAGTAACATATGGCTCCGCTGTTAATAATTTCTTAAACTTAAATTGCGGAGTTTATTCCCGTTAGGATTCCCTCGGCCGTTCCAAAGTTCTTTATTTCAATTCTGACAATCTAAAGATCGTATACACAGTGAAACATAATAAAATTCCATTTTAGACATATTAGACAGGTCCACCACGGGACATCTAAATTGTTAAGAATATTAACAACAGTCCTATTCCAGGATTTTGAAAAAAGTATTAGACAATCTGCATAAAGCACTCGGTATTCTTAAAGATTATGTGTTTAGAAAGCTGAGGATTAATGCATTCCATACATAGTTCAACTTATACGTAAATCCTACTTGGTAAATAACTATTGCAACTTTTATTTGGGGATGCCATTATGTTGCTCTCCTGTTGAATTGGTTCGACAGCAGCACTGAGCGGATTAAACATTAATAAAGACAGCGGACAAATGTATTATTCAAAAAAAACCAAAAAACCGTGCATACAAAGTACTACATTTTCATAGAAATAGTAGCATGAGTAGTTAACAAGATTTCAACATGTCATTCAAGTAAGCTGGAAATAACGAGTTAATACTTATAAATAAAGTAGAAAGTTTTCCAGCTTTACTTCTGCTTGAGAGTGTCTCCCATCCTGTGTCATAACATAATCTAATTGGAAATGTGTAATACTATTATTAATACAATAACCCTTTTCGCTGCTTCTATTTGTATCTTTTCAAGGTGCGGATTATAACAGACTTTAGACGCGCATTTGCGAACAGGTCGTATGAAAACAGAAAATGTAGCGAAAATATAATCATTTATGGAGGTAATTACTAACTTAGCAAGTATTGACTTTGCAGCTTCATGTGGGTTTTTTCGGATATTGCCAATTTTGTAATATGGAGCTTAAGTATGGGATATGCATATACATGATAATATTGAATTTCTTACAGAAAGTGTAATTTTTTCAACCGTCTACTACTAACTGTGTTGTTTTTGTAACAGATGCGTCAAATTCGGAAATGTCCGCATTATGTTTGCCATAATACCGTCTGACACTGGTGTATGATCAATTAGTTTGAAAAGAGAAGTTGAACGAACAACCCATGTAAGGATTATCTCTATTGCGACAAAGCATAATGTTTGGGTTTTTCCCCGTCAATGTTATCTGTCGCATAGCAAGAACACTTCACAGCTTGCCGATACAATAGCTACTAGGGTTTAAGTCGATCTAAAATCGATTGTTAACGGAGAATGAAAATATTCTAGAGGTCTGAAGGAATATATAGGCATTTCCCCTAAGATAATACACCCACAAATGAGTCGACATCTACATGGAAGTGTGTTAAACTTCCATGGGCTGCTCAACACTTAATGCCATAAATCACCAGTGTTTGATCACATTTGCAATGCAGGCAAGGTATTGGCCAATGGGTATTGCCGACTTATCCTTGGACGTACTGACAGGCAAGTAAAAGCCGATATCGTACTTCAAATTGTAATACTTACTTCTCAGTCTGATGTGATACTGGTAAGTTTTATAGAAATTTGATCAAGTACTTTATTTGAATGTAAATGCGTTGTTTTCTTATTAGAGTATTCATTACAACTGAATTGTATAAATTAACCCCCAAAAAGACAAATATCGGCGTCAATGTATGTTTCACGTTACATGTTCCCGTGTAACAGAATTTTCTTCAGTTTTGGTCTTGAAATGGATTCTACGGTTTTGAGAGGAAACTAATATGTATATATTATGTCGTGTAATATAAGCGTTTAGATTGTCTCTTAATTCCATCCACAAATGGCTCTTCATGAGATAGATCTGGCTTTCTTATTCTTATTGATGGTATATAATCCATCAGTTCCTTATCAGTTTATGTGTACTTCGCCTGGGTATACACCTTGTATGATACGATGTGCATAACCACATAACCACCTGTGTTGCTCATGTTGATCCTGGCAGGTTAAATTGTCTGTAAAGATTGTTGTGCTGTTGATTCTAAAGGGGCATTTGACAGGGTATAAGTGAGTGACAATAGCGTATATATTAACAGTGCCTTGCCATTAGATGGTCATGTCGGAATTGTCGAAAGACATTTCCCTAACTAGTGTTACAATATGCTTGTTCAATAACATGACCCTGACTGATTTGGCGGTGTGAAATGTGACGCATTATGAATGAATTACATCGAGATTCATCAGAATAAAACTAATATTGTGTGACAGAATATGACTTCTTGCATGTACAAGTGGCGTTTCGCTATAAAATATCATTGTATGCCGGAATTGTTATTCTGACCAAGATCAGTAAGAAAAGGAATGACGAACAGAACACTTGGCTCTTTATAATAGAAAATAGTGTTTACATTTTCCTGTCAGGTTTGCTCGATATGATAATCCTGTTATCTGACAAGGAAAGGCAAAATTAAAATATGTATGTGGTTGACAAATATATGTTTCCCTGCAGTTGATATATGACTACCTACTGCATTGACTAGCAGATGATGAATAGAAAAGGCATAAAAGCACGAATATAATAATGGCCATTTCACATTGAAGTGAACTATTCAGTTAACGAGTGATAAGTATCATGTGATAGGGCTGTTAAATGTTGATTGGCTTTTTATCATATCTTTCTTCAGAATTCCTCAATATACTTTCATTGAAGGGGACATAATCTATCAACCTCTTCAAGACAGGGCGGTGATATGGGTAAGTGAAGCTGTCTCTAAACATGGTCCATGGTTTGCATAGTTTGGGAATTGAAATAACGAAGTGCTCTTGATGAGTGTACGTAAACAATCCAAAATGTCATCTCTTATGTGTCAAGACCCTGTTACATTCTTGTTGACTTTTTTCTAAAAAAAAGAGAAACACACCATATCTCACTTTCTCTTCGATATATAGCTAACAGATAAACCCATAACTCACTTTATTCTATGAATACAACTTGAACGATTCAAAACCTGAAATAACTCAAATAACAAACCCATTACAAAAGAATAACCACTCTCGATTATCTGCAGTCGTTATTTGGTGTAAAAGATGGACTAGCGGTAAAAAATATAATGGATCACTAAAAATCAGATATGACACCAGGTGTTTGCCAAAAGGTATTCAAAAACGTTGAAATACATCCTGCTTTCACTGACTTTATTCAGTATTTATTTTTATTATTTATTTATGGTAAAGGCATATTTTACTTTCAATTACAGGCGAACAAGAGGGTGGTTCAAATAAAAACATAGCTTGCCATGTGCGGGTCCCGAAATGGTTCAAGGATCGATTCAGAAAGTTTGGAATCCTGATTGGTTCCCATCCTATCAAGCTCATCGCGTTGTCATTAATCGTGACTGTTGGTCTGAGCTGTGGGATGTTGAAACTGACGTCGGAGTCGGACACAGAAACTTTGTATACTCCAGTGGATAGTCAGGCTTCCAAGGACAGAGAGAAGATTCAGGCTGTATTTGAAGACGACACTGGCAGCAACTTCTTCCCTCGCTCATTGACAAAGTCCGACCTATACGGGGATGTCATATTTTCAACTGTAAATGTTGTTGATGAGGACTCAGCGTCAACAATACGATTCTATATTGATCACATCAAGAATATAACTGTTACGCTCGACAATATTCAGTATTCCTACTCTGATGTATGTGCTAGACGAGATGGAAGCTGCTACAGATCTGATGATACTTTCATTGGTTCTGTTACTGTTGGTGTAACTTATCCGGTATTCAACAATGTAGATTTGCCTTCAGTCTTAGGAAATGTCAACGCAAAGGACGGTAAATTAGTTTCAGCAGGGTACCTGAAAGTAACCTTCCACCTGAGGCAGGACTCGGTCATCCTTCGTGCTGCAGCGATTGCCTGGGAAGATGAATTCATCAAAGTAATGTCAACTTTGAAACCTGAAAACGTTACCATGAGCTATGCTACATCACAGTCTCTGAACAAGGAACTGGATGCCAACACCGGAGGGGACATCACTTACTTCTCAATAACGTTCACGTTGATGATCACTTATGCAACAATAATCGTTGGTGGTGACATGGTGTCATCGAGGACGTGGGTTTCCTGGGCAGGAGTTCTAGCGGCTGGAATGGGGATTGTATCTTCCTTTGGTCTTGTTAGCCTGTGTGGAATGAAGTTTGTCAACATTGTTGGGACGATGCCATTTCTTGTCCTAGGTATCTGCATATTTCAAATACACGCAGAACTCTTCTTACGTTCATAAAGTAAAATATAATAACAGACCTCTTTTATCATGAAAGTGTTGTTAAGTGACGTTTTAAAGCCGTTTATTTTATAACAGGTATTGGTGTGGACGACATGTTCCTGTTGATGTCAAGCTGGGCGGACACCTACCGTCATCAAGACGTGTCTGTGGAAAACAGGATTGGGATGACGTTTGCGTCAGCTGGCATTGGTATCACCATAACATCACTGACAGACCTTCTTGCCTTCATAATTGGAACATCCTCCGTCTTCATCAGCGTCAGGAACTTCTGTGTATATACAGGTGTGGATTCTCATGAATGTAATAATAATAATGATAAGTGAATTCACTAGGTGAATGCTCATAGCACTAACACATCTAATCTGATTATTATTGCCCCGGATAACCTAAGCCGCCTGTGAGGCGCTAGAAGGTAATAATAACACGACTTATCCCATCGGAAGTGCTTCCTTGTGGGGCAGGACTAAAGTCCTAGAAACTCTCAGGAGTCAAGCTGCCAAAGACGGTCACATCTTAATCGAATGTAATCTTAAACTGATTCGAATTACCCCTTATAAATATATTATCGTTCTAAGTCGATGGGGAGGAAATTTTCATTCATAGCAAGAGAGCTGTCATTATTCTCATCGTGCCACATATGATATTACATGTTAAAATGAAAGACGAATCCATGCATTCCACTTTTTATTAACAAGATGATTCGTATTCAATTATGCAATTTAATAGATTGTGTATCGTTCTGCAAATGTTCCAACATCTGTTTCCCCAGGGGTGGCCGTCATATTCTCCTACCTGTACCAGTGCTTCTTTTTTGCACCTTGTCTGAGTCTTCACGGCAGCCGAGTAGACGCTCGCCGACACTGCCTGACCTGCCTCAGAGTGAAGAGTCGGTTGGACTACAGGGAAGAGGACAAAAATTGTCTCTACGTGTACAGTTGTGGAGGAACACGTCCAACAGAAAAAGGGCAAGATGAACGTATATGCGAGAGTGGTCCAAGAAAAATACTCCCTGTCATACTCCTTCATGTTGCTGGTAAAATTACAGTCGTAGTTGTGTATTTATCATACCTGGGTGTATCCATATATGGTCTTGTCAACCTTAAGCAAGGTCTTGATCTAAAGAACCTGGTTTCACCATCCTCTCATTTCTACTCATACACAGATATCAAAGACACCTACTTTCCCAATACTTTCCCAATTCCTTTCATATTTGAAGACAAAACCAACTATTTGAACAAAGACACAATAACACAAATTAACAAACTGCTTGCAGACGCACAATCAGACAGTGAAGTAAATTCACAGTCTTCAGTGTGTTGGTTGACGAATTACATGAATTCTTCCTATTTTGACGACACGAGTTTGACACAGTTTGTATCAGGAGCGCAATACTTTCTAAATGAAACACCAGCATTCAAAAGCGACGTGGCTTTTGACGATATCGGTGAGCATATTATTGCTAGTCGCTGTTACCTGTTCTCTGATGACATCAAGGATTCTAATAAGCAGGCTCGGGTGATGACTCGGATGCGAGAACTGGCAGATGGCTCTCCTCATCAGTTTACACTTATTACCCTCTGCTTTCATCTTCTTTGGAGCAGTACGTCGCTATTCTACCCAGCACTCTCTCCAGACTGTTGGGGGTAGCCTCCTCATCGTGATGACTGTGGTCACGTGTATCTTCATGCCACACCCACTCATGATAACACTAGTTGTTTTCAACATTGTGTCCATACTGGTCGGAATATTCGGCTTCCTGTATTTCTGGGATCTTAGTCTCAGCTCAGTCACTATGATCCATCTCATCATGTCTGTAGGTTTCTCTGTTGACTTCAGCGTCACGTCTGCTCAGCCTTCTTGCTCGGAGAGGGCAGCACTCGTCGTGAAAAAAGTCAAATATGCTATTGTTCATGCTTCAGGTCCCGTACTAAATGGCGCCATCTCCTCTCTTTCCTTGGCGTCATAATACTGGTTTAATCATCGAGTCACCATCTTCAAATCCTTCTTCAACATCATGCTTATGGTTATGTTGTTGGGTATGCTGCATGCAGTGTTTCTTCTTCCAGTTGTCTTATCCCTAGTTGGACCGACGGAGTCACCAGGAAAGGCCACAGAAGCACGCCATCCAGCTAATTCACAACAAGCTGAAACAACAAATTAACATGCTTTAGCTTCTGGAGTTCATGTCTTGGTCTAAATTATGTATTTGATGAATGTGATGCTCAGCTGCACTGACAACAAAGATATATCTTAACAGCAAACGGTACATATTATTACTGGTATTATTATTGTATTTGTAGAGCACTATTCCACCTGAATTCAGCTGCTCAAAAGCGTTTTCGGAGATTGCATGAGACCAGAGTGAGTGAGTGAGTATGGTTTAACGCCGTTTTTAGCAATTTTCCAGCAATATCACGGCGGGGAACACCAGAAATGGGTTTCACACATTGTATCCATGTGGGGAATCGAACCCGGGTCTTCGGCGTGACGAGCCAACGCTTTAACCACTAGGCTACCCCACCGCCCCGCATGAGACCAGAAATAAGGAGTCAACATGCATGCCTTGGTGAACAGGGGGATTTTAATTTGGAATTTATAGGCTAATCCACGGTAATGAAGCCGCTCAAGATAGCAAAACAAGTATCCCCAAAAGTAGCAGTTTCCGAGGCAGGAACATAGAATATATGTTGACTTCTTAGTTTGAGATTTCTTGGTGGCCGGTATAATCTTCTAGGTAAAGTGCCTGTATCTTGCTTTGTATTTTTGCAGCAACATTTAGCCTTTTGTCATAATTGGAAGTAGATTTAAGTACTTTCATTTTCTGGCTTTTGGGAGTAGCCTCTCTGTTGTGTTCTCCCATCGTTACGTCACGTCAAAAAGACGACCACATTCAGTTGATGCATCTACGGTATGGATATCAAACTGCCACAGTAACTGCTCAGATAAATCCTTGGTTGAAACCAATATGTGGCAGAACCTTAGGTGAATGAGTGGTCTCAACGTCCAGCAATACGCCTAATGTTGCTTCACGGTCACCGTCAGGACCCCTAACTTTGTACAGACTGTATCTGAGGTCCAGAAGACAAAACTAGGACACTACACTGTAGTGAGTCCAGATCTCAAATAGACAGCTGATGGTCGAGCAAAGATCTCCAGACGTCCAGGAGAACTTTTCTTAATGTCGTCGATGTCGGATAGCTGTGTAATGGTATGGGGTGTCATTACATTTGAATGACATACGCTACCGGAATGACATTTGTGCATAAGTACTATATATATTATGAAGATTTCTATTATCGTTGAGCGTTTTCATAAATTGTTTAAGACATTGTTCAAAATCATAACACTTTTCTCATCGGTTCTTAATAGAATTTATATCATGTGAAGATCTCCTTGCGTCTATATACACAACCATATAAATAACACGAATGACTTACACACGTGTGTAGAAAAGGATTAGACATCTTCCGTCGGGTCAGTACAATATAATAGCAGGAGATGATGTATCAAGGTTATGATGATGGGTTTGAAGGTGAAGAAGTCCTCTAGAAAACCCATAATTAATGTGAACATTGGTGAGAGCTCACTTAAGGGAAGATAAAACCCCAACCCCGATTGATTTCTATGAACACCAAGCAACCTATACCTGGAATGGGGACATTTATTTTGATGTGACTTGTAAAGTTGTAAGTTGTGACTTGTAAATTATTTATTCAGATTGTGTGACGTAACAATGTTATCCTCATTATTATTTTTGCTTCGCTAAGATGATGAGATGAATGGATTGTGACGTGGTTTCTTGCAGGGGGTATTTCATTTATAGTTCTCTAGTGCCGATTGCGATGCTCAAGTCGGATTTGAGTATTTTGTTTCTGATTACTAAACTAATAAAATGTTATAATCATCAATGTAGAGAAGATATCAAACAGAACATACTGTTTTACACTCAAAAAAGAGATTAGGAACATATTAGGTATAACATTATTCTATCAACAATGATTGATGTATAACTTTTATACATCTTCATCCATATTGACATTTTACCTCACCTGGCCTAAAAAGGCCAATGAGCTTGGAACGAGCATCCTCCGTCGCCTGGCTTTGTATAAAGATAATATATTGCATATAATATAATTAGTTTGCGATACTTATTATTGTGACCTTTGCTGATACTTAATAGCCATTGTTTCAAATGTAAAAACATATTCGGTCGCGTGTAGTTGGTAGTGGGGCTCGGGATTTATATATTCCTGTTTTTATGTTTAGCCACCTTGCAGCTGTATTGAAAACCAATTGTACTGTACTGCTCTCAAACTGCATGTTTGACTTTGTTGACATAGTTTCCTCTGAAACTGAGAATGCTGAACCTTGGCCTACATATTTCTTCTTATGGTGAAATCATGTTTTTTTTAAATATTTTTGAAACTGAAAATAGTATTCTCCTTGGAAGAGAAACTTTGAGAGAAGGGTACTTAACTCTTCTGCTTTGAAAATGTTAAAAATAGTTTTCTGCAAGATTTGGTAATATTGTTTAGTGTCATAATTGGTTATACTGTTTTACTGAGCACTTCTGCTGGAAACATTTTAATAGCAATGCTGATAGCAACTTGTGACATTCTCTCTGTGGACATTTTAAACTGCCTAAATATCTAGGTGAACTCTAGTCCCGTGGCACACTTAACGTTTTTATTGTTTCTTGCACTCTAAATATATTTCATTTGTCTAGTTCACAAAGTCTTCAATCCATTGCTGCAAAATGAAGTACAAAACAGACAAATATCGATGTAATGTAATATACTACAATTAATCGAGATTGGTTATTCACTAGCGTTAATGCTCTTTATTTACATTGTATGATCCCCGAGGAGTGGAGATTTATAATACGATGTGCCGTTTGAGTTTGACATCCAATGATCGAGGGCAAATCAAAGATCTTTGAGCAACTGAGCTGGATATTGGCGCTATACAAATGTTAATATAATAATAATCTGTAAAACATAATGTTACATGTACAATTCATTTCTTGCAAATAAAGGCAATAGACCACGTGTATTTTGTTACATATATGCAGCGTCTAGAATGAGTGAGTGAGTGTGGTTTTACGCCACTTTTAATAATATTCCAGCAATATCATGGTGGGGGACACAAGAAATGGGCCTGAGACATTGTACCCATGCAGATAATCGAACCCGGGTCTTCGGCGTGACGAGCTAACGCTTGAACTACTGGGCTACCTAATGCAGATCTGTATTAGGGTGCGCACCACCCCTTTTGTTCTGAGAGTTCATCAAATGACCATTGAAACGCTCTTGAAAACGGGTCAAAACACACAGACAAACACACACACACACTCTCTCTCTCTCTCAAGAGTGTGCATCCACCAACTTTCTCAAAAAGCTGTATCCGCCCCTGGAGTTTCCTTCACACGTGTATTTAGGTTTAAGGTATGACTGTAGGGTGTGTGTACCTATGCCTACATAGAGGGTGATTAAGCATATGTTTATATATTTATTATATAAGCATACACACATTCCAGTTAATGGTAGTTCCAGGAGTATTAAAGTATAAACATAATACTATTAGACGCTACCCACTCGTCTCTTTAAAAAATGACGATAATTATCTATGTTTTTCGCAAGACAGTTATTCTTGTGTGAATTGTGCAAGGCGTAAATTATATTGCTTGTGTAACCGGAGTGATTTGGTATATACCACAAAGGCAAATAGATTCTGTAGATGTCAGTTTAATCCCAATAATAACTGAGGAAGACCCTGTAAAAAATAAATACATTGCAACAAAATACGCTACAATACTTCATGGGCCAATACATGTGAGGCTTAGCAATAAGTACTACAATCATATATAATCAATACACTCATTACTGATTAATACCCGTGAATGTCCGGGTTAGAATATTGATCTTCAGTAACCCATGCTTGTCGTAAGAGGCGACTGACGGCATCGGGTGGTCAGGCTCTCCGACTTGGTTGACACATGTCATCGGTTCCCTATTGCGTAGATCGATGCTCATACTGTTGATCACTGGATTGTCTGGACTCGATTATTTACAGACTGCCGCCATAGAGCTGGAATATTGCTGAGAGCGGCGTAAAACTGAACTCACTCACTCACTCACTGATAAATCAGGTCACAGAGTAGACATGGTTGTATATATGTTTACAATGTTTATATTTCAAGATACTCGTGTAGCATCATACAAGTACATAACATAATCATTTACACTATAATACGAAAGAACCCTCACCGAGTGTATGGCACTGTGCCCCTTTGACGTCACAAACGTCAGGAAATATGTTTGCCACACATGAACATAAACATATATAAAATCAATACTATGTAACGTTCTACATCTGTATATTATCACTCTACTAAACATAAAATATCTGTTCCAATAACTTATCTCATCATACATACATCCATTCATACATGCAAAGTTAGATGCATTAGTTTATAAAAGTAGATGTACACATTATGTTTACCTACACAATAATTTATAAGTTAGGTAACATCCTTGTGGGAAATGTTATTTAGGATTACCAGCAATCAAGTTACATATGTAAAGTATTGCTAAGACCTAGTTATGCTACATATTACATATAGTTAATTTGGTTTATATTTACCACACATAACATGATACATGCTTTAAAGGAAGCTAAGAAATAATACATACACACTAAACATGTAGACATAAAATACACAATCCAAATATAAACTAACCTGTTATAAGCTGTTGTGAGCTATGACCAGTGACCAGACAGACTGAAGTGAAAATGGAAGCTGACCCACAAAACACCCTGCTATTGAATATAAGGGGCCTGGGGCTGGGGCAAGACAATAGAGACAATAGACAACGTAACCGCAAGGGTGACCGTGCTATTGTGAAAATGAAGCAAGTAAGATTGAGTGGTTAAGCTTGGGCTAGACTTAGTGATTAAAATACAAAT